AATAATTTTAGCAAATTATAAAAATTATAAATGTAGTTATCAGTTATACTCTATGAGACAGAACATGTATCTTACATTGGATACTCAGAGGCTAACACACAGTAGCCATTCAGTAAATACTTGTAGAACTTTGTAAAGAAAGAGAACAGGTGGGAAGGCAGCTATAAGCACCAAAGGAGTGAAATCTCTAAAACTACAACTTCTCATATCAATTTGTTGTGAATAAAGACACAAGCAGGAGCTTGGTTTTGTTTTGTATTTTGTGCTTTTCAAATGATTTTTACCTCATCTCCTCTGACCTTCTTTGGACCCCACTGAGTGAATACCAGTGAAAAAATCAGTTTCTACATCCTTAACTTTGTTAGGATTCTAAGCTGCAACAGCTTTGTCAATCTCATAGCTTAGGTGCGGTTGAATATCGTAGAGAAATGAGGCCCACCTAGGAAGGAATTTGTTATTTTTATGTTAACCGTACAAAAAAAAATACTCTATCTTGGAGGTAATTGTGAGGAAAAATGAATGCAGATAGCTCTGAAATGCCATAACAAAATGTATCATCTTTTCCAAATTTATTTTTTAGCTGCCCACTCCAGATGGACACTGAAATGCAGATAAAATGGCATAAATAACTCACCCTGGGTCATTAGGTGAGTGACTGCTTCTAAAAACTCAGAAATGTAAAGGTACAGATGGAAAAAAATACATATCTTTTCTTAAGAATAAAATCACTTTAGTTTATAAAGTTTGTACAATATTTTTAAAGTCTTCCATGAAAATAAGCAATTCTAGGGAGCCTACTGTGAAAAATTTCACCAGATGGGCTCCTAGCCCCTGGACTCAAAACTGACAGCCTACTTAGGTGGGCTTTAAATTCATCATGGAAAGAATGTGACAGACACCCTATGTCTTCCAAACAGCAAGGAGTTGCTTCCAGTTTTGAATTAACGCTGAACAACAATTCTATCAAAAAAGAACAGTTAACATCAATTAAAAACATCTGGTGAGTGACAAATTTATCCAAATGTAGAACATCCATAAGAATCCTAAGTCAAAGAAAGGGCAATTTCATCAAGAAAATTAACAAATCCAAGTGAGTAGATGACATCTTGAATATCTTCAAACTGGGAGGAAGAAAATGATTCAGTGTACTAGAAAAGTGGGAATTTAATGCAAAAGGCTACAAGAAAGTTTAGAATTTAATACACAAGAAAATTTATAAATGAATATGAATTAAAATTTATCTAGTTTATTCTCCAGATGAGAAGATTTATAAAACTTTATGAGTTTGGAGAATAACAGAGATATTGTAAAGAAAAAAAATGCTAAAAATTTTCGTTTACCTTCTGATTTTAAAATATATAATTACAACAAAAATTTTTTATACCCTGTTCTCTTGTCTGTACCTTTCCTTCCCTCCCCTGATTAGCTAAAAGCCAGTAAGAAAGCAGACATTAGCAGAGGGAAGAAGGGTAACTCAGTTCTGAAATTTATAAACATCTGAAAAGTTAGATGGTCAATCCATTGATAGGATAAGATACTTCAGAGACCTGTGTCATTAGATTTGATGTTAAGAAAGAGCAATATAAAATAAGCAAACTAAGAATAGTGAAGAAAGGTGAAAATCATTTACAGTAAAATTAAAATTAGCTCCTAGGTCTAGGAAGAGATTATCAGACTTCAAAAATCATTGGTAAGAATGTCCCTAACATAAAATTTAGAAAATAAGAAATGAAGAGAAAGATGTTGACCAGATCATTTTCAGTGTTATCAAATTGGGAGAACATACAGATTCTAGTATACTGGTCACTACCCTTTGGGTTTAAACAAGACAATGACTTATAAAAATCAATCATGCCTTAAGAATATCCAATTCACCTGAGGTCAGGAGTTTGAGACCAGCCGGACCAACATGGTGAAACCCTGTCTCTACTAAAAAGACAAAATTAGCTAGTTGTGGTGGCATATGCCTCTAATCCCGGCTACTCAGGAGGCTGAGACAGGAGAATCGCTTGAACTTGGGAGGAAGAGGTTGCAGTGAGCCGAGATCCCGGCATTGCACTCCAGTGCAGTGGCTCACGCCTATAATCCCAACACTTTGGGAGGCCGAGGCGGGTGGATCACGAGGTCAGGAGATCAAGACCATCCTGGCTAATATGGTAAAACCCCGTCTCTACTAAAAATACAAAAAAAAAATTATTCGGGAATGGTGGTGGGCGCCTGTAGTCCCAGGTACTCAGGAGGCTGAGGCAGGAGAATGGCGTGAACCTGGGAGGCGGAGCTTGCAGTGAGCTGAGATCTCACCACTGCCCTGCAGTCTGGGTGACAGAGCAAGACTCCATCTCAGAAAAAAAAAAATTCAAACTCTCTTATGGACTAAATGTTTGTGTCCCCCTGAAATACATATGTTGAAGCCCTAACCCCCACTGTGATTGTTTTTGGAGGTGGGGTCTTTGGGAGGTAATTAGGATTAGATGAATTCATGAAGGTGGGGCCATGATGATGGGATTAGTGACCTTAAAAGAAGCAGCAGCAGAGAGCTTGCTTTCTCTCTCTGCCATTTGAGGACCCAGGAAAACAGTAGCTTTCTGCAAGCCATGAGTAAACCAGGAAGAGAGCGCTTACCAGGAACAAAATTGGTTGGCATTTTGATCTTGAACTTCCCAGCCTGCAGAATTGTGATAAAATACATTTCTGTTTAAGCTACGTGGTAGTCTATGGTATATTGTAGCCCAAGCTGATTAATATACTCTCTTTGCCCGGATGCCTTGATTTTCTATTTATTTGGGAACTGGTCTTCAATTCAACTTATGAATGAGCACAACATGGCATAGAATCATAGAAATTCATAACTGGTAGGAAACAGAACTCTCACGTAGTTTAACCACCCATCTTATGCCTGATTTGTTTGAGTTGAAAAGTGACTAAATGGTCTTCCAAGATACACTGGAACCCCTCTCATGAGAGGAATTCACTAAATAAGGTGATCATTTAAGGATGATCTTTTTTCTACCTCTTTTGTATGCCTTAAATTTTCACAATGAAAGATGCAAGACCTACAGAGAGGCATGTAGGGAGGAACAGAGACTGTTTTACATTTCTAACATTTTCTTTGAAACCAAAGATAAACATCCTCAGATTCTAAAGAGAACTAATTCTTTAAACTTTCTTTATCAAAAGTAGGAAACATCTACCTCTAAGTCTACAATTTTGCATTATATTATGGCAAAAACGTTAAGCATTGGAGGGTGACATGCTCAGACCAGAGCAAAATAAAATTTTATAGCCCTAAAGTGACAACTTCTAACTAGGCAGTAAGTCTGGCTCTTTTTTCTGATAAACATTAACTTCTGCTTAGGATCATTTAATTAAGTGGAAGCATTTTCTTTATGCCAGTGGATTCTCAAGAAGCTACGAAGCAGTGAAATGAGAGTTCTACTGTTTATCTTGAACAAATATAGGCCAACTCAGGTTCTCTTTATTCTAGAACACTTGACCATTTCCACCAAGATAAAATTTTTTGCATTAAACAAATACAAATAGGAAATGTCCTAGCATCATTAAGTAGTCTCAGTTCCTTAAAGTCACGGCTCAGTTAATCATTTGCTTTTAGAATGTTTTCCTCCAAAAATAGGGAAATGTTTAATGACACATTTGTAATTATTCAAAATATTCTCCCTTTTGCCTTTACACATCTTTTTCAGATCACATGTCTCTGAAATTCAATAAAAGAAAACATTATATGAATAGTTTGATTTCATATTTAATTTATAATAAGAAAACTCCGTAAGAGTAAGATGTGTTTGCAGTTTGGTAGTTTGTACGCAGGTCACCTCCTATTACAGTGAGTGACTGTATGATGATAAAAGGACTTCCAAGCTCAAAGCTAGGCCCCTTCTTTTATGCAATAATACATACAACCAAATACCAACCAGTAAAACACATAAATTTGAACAATCCCTCAGAGTTTGTTGAATTTACTTGGTTAGTTATTAAACACAGTATTCAGTCAAAGGATTGGCATAAGTCTCAGCAAATCCTCATTTTTTAACAAACACAGTTAGGCATACTACACTTTATCCGCGCATACTCATGCCTCACCCTTAAAAGCTGGATGGTAACTCCATAGAAAGGATGAAAGATGACCTTGGGTCATCACAGTAGAATCACTGGTTGTAACACAAAGTGTTCTCATACTAGAGAAATTTGTTTGCATTTGTGGTTTTTCTGATGTCTTCAAATGAATATTCCTACGTCACAACTACATCTGTTTGGATGCCTACCCCCATGGGTAAATGAACAAAGGGATGTGTTCTAAGCACTTGCTTGATGGAAATTAACAATCGCTTTCATCCTTGCCTTGTGTGGCTTTCTTTGAGTTGCTCTATTTGCTTTTTGCCACGAGCTAATATAAATTTTAAAAGTATCATGACTGTGGTGTCTTAAGAACACTACGTAATTGGAAATAAGGTTTAACCTTCAGTAGAGCCCTGAGGAAGTTCACCTTAAAATATTAAAAAAAAAAAAAAAAAAAAAGATTAAAAGAAGTAATTAGATATATATGCCAGGGTTGAAAGCTCATGGAAGGGAAGAACTTTCAGAATGTTACTGGTTGAAGTACCTAATGACATAAGTTTAATTTATGATTTTGGACATGCCCAGAAGGTTTCATATTCAAGACATAAATTCCCTATGTTTTGATTTTTAATCATATATTTTCTGCATGCACTCAAAAACTAGAGTGTTCAATATCAGGCTAGTAGACTTATATGAATGAATGGTAAGATATAAACTAGTTGAAAGAATTTTCATCAAATGCTAACCAGGCCACATAGACAAGCAAGTCTTCGTTTGTTAATAAGCTGTGTACAGTCAGAGAACTGTAAGTTAACTAAAGGTTTCCCACAAGCCTAATCATGATAGCACAGTATTAAAATCCAAAACCAAAACTAAAATGTTATATGTACATGTTTAGAAAACAGATGAAAACAAAAGTTACTTACACTTTTGCTCCGAGAAAGCAAATCACAGGTATTTCTTTTCATCGTGGTGTTTTAAGTAATTAAAATGGGAACTAGTGTTTCCAGTGTCAATGCTCTCACTGCAAGTGTCCACTCAAAAGCCAACTGGAATGCTGAAAAGAAAAGGAAGGAAATGTTTAATCAAGTATATGATTAACACATGCACTTTGAAATGCCCTCTTAGACTGGCACAGTAATTCTTAAATAATTCATCGGAACAGGCTAAAACGGTGCTGTGTTTAAAACAATAAAAACATATACACAAGCAACATTTCCAAAACAGTTTTTGTTAAATGTAAGTTAGAGATTTCAAGCACCATCTGTTTTCCATTAAATATTCAACTCTACAGTTTTAGTGGCTGAAAAAAATTAAAAAAAAAAATTAAAAAAAAATAAAAACCGATATGGTAGCCATAACCTAAAATTACATGTATAAAATGACGATGCAAACTGAATTGTGTATATGTTGATTCTTATTGGGACAGCTAGGGACTCGACAATTTTTCACTAAGGGATCACTAAGGTGATCCACTGCTGGAGGAATCTTACCTACATGTGAAGAAAAGAGCCCTCTGAGCAACTGCATCATTGCCTCTTGTTTCACTGACAATAATCAATAGTACCTTAAAGCCAATCCAATAACTCTTCAGTAAATTTAGTGAGTTCTCTACCCCTTTAGTTCTAAGTGGTTGTAAGGAATACTTGAGAAGATGAGAACAAAAAGTATAAGCAATAACTGTTAAGTAGTAACTGTTATTTCAAGGAATATTCCAGAGTAATTGCCACTTAATGACATTGATATCCTCATTATCTAACAAATCTTTGCTTTTTCCTAGACACTACAATGGAGATTCTCCATTTTCAGTTTTGAAGATAGAACAAATCGAGTAGCTGTATGTATTGTGTTCATTTATGATATTCTTTTACATCAGGACACAACCTACATATTTATAGGGTATATTTGCATGTGGGCTGAAGTGCTTTCAAGGCAAAGAGGATAAAAGGCCTGGTCAAACCACAAAATCTCTGATATTGCAGGTTTAGGCTAATGTTGTAGGTGTAGGCTGATGCTAACAGTGGCATGTAGTTCTATCATTTGGGTTTGTTCTAAGCTTCTCAAAAAACATGTATCTGAGACTTAAGGAAAAGAGTAACAGTGGTGAAGGTCTGAAGGAGCTGGTTTTGCTAAAATGATTGAAAAATATTAAAGTACAAAGTAGTATGAATTATACATTTAAAAGATGAAAAACAAAGTAACTATGTATCATTTTTTTAAAAACATACAAAATGAAAACAGAGAAGCCTGCAGGGAACACAGCCTTTTTAAAGGCTGAAAATACTTGTTTGGAATATATGTGAGTCACCCTCTCAAGTCTTCTCAAAATAAAATGAAGACACTTTGCGGGAGGTTAGAGGTCCCATAACAGCAAAGTAGAGGTAGAAACAGAGAAATAAAGTTCACTGCGACTAAGAATATCTCTAGATGCAACTTGGGGACTCAAAGGCAAACAATGGACAAAGCCTTCTTCCAAGATTGATAGAAATGCTTGCCTGAAGATTAAAGAAAAATGCACAATCAAATGTGAGTTGCTAAGATAAATACTGTTTCTCTGAGTGTGTATGGATTTTTTCTAAAGGAGTAGGATTTGAAGGGAGGAGCTGATCCACAAATGGAAAGTTCTCAGCTAGTACACCTCCAGGAATTGAATCACCTTTACAAATTAGCATCCTATAGGTCCCAGAAAATGTGGAATTATGTTACTTATTTAATTTAGGAATTGAACAGAAATAATACAAATTTAAAATATTACATAACTAGGGAAAAAAATTAGATAACAGCTGTGGGAAGCTTACATATTATCAGAGAAAAATTTATTCAAAATATTTATTTATTCATCCAGTATTTAATGAGTAGTCTTAGGGACAACCAAGGAATAGTTGTCCTACTAGGCTAGTGACTCAGTGGTAACACATCAGTCAAATCAGACAAATAATGGATTTGACCTGATAAGCTTTGTTGAATTAATCAGGTTTTTTAAAAATTTGCCTTGAAATCATTTAAAGACCATCATTAGCAGATATTTTCCTGTGGGAATTTAGAACTTACAGAAATTTCAATAGGTAAAGAGATTCAGTTGAAAACTGACTGCTGATGGAATGGCTCTTCTCACTCTGTATAGCTAGGAGGCACCTAGCCTCACTAAAAGAGTATAGACTTTGGAACCAGATAGGTATAGATTGGAATTTCAGCTTTCCACTGGCATTCTATGTAGCTTTTAGGTACATTATTTGATTTATCTGAACTTTTTCCAGTTCTGCAAAAGAAAGACAATAATACACATATGTGTTTTCAAAATAAATGAAGTAAAAAGGATTGTCTAGGAGAATGCTTGGCTCATAGGAGGTACTTGGATCTCATCATCATCATTATATATTCATCATCATCCATCATCACTACCTTCTTTTTCTCTTAGTATCAAATAGCAAGCAACACCAGCCCATTCTTATTTTTTCTCCTATAAATGCTAACCTCTCTCAAATAATACATATGTGGGCAGATCTATTTTATACTAACCAATATGAATTACCTATCAGTTAAAGGTCCAGGAATAAACAGACAGCATACTTATATTAGGATCATTTACAGCAGGTTCAACAAACAGACTCTTTAAGGAGATGTTGGTAGGGTAGAGGAATCCACAAAGGATGGCACAGTACTTGGAACTAGCAATAGCGAAGTTTTCACCCTAAGAGGGATGGGTTGCCCATACCTAGGAAAAAGCATCACACAGAGTGGGCTGCCTTTAAAATGGAAGTTGCTCTCTGGGACACAGCTAGCCTCAGGTCTCCCTAAAAGGAAGGAGATAAGAAAATGTACGCAGTCTCATTTTCCTTTCTCCAACTGTCTCCTGCTAGGACTCCCCATTAGCCAAATGCAAGCAAGCAGGAGGGCAAAGGAGGAAGATGTACATCTCACTGGTCAGCCTTCCAGGGTACAAAGCCCCTCAAGGTAGGGCAGGGAGGAGAGTGGAGATGGAAAGGAAATGGTAGATGCGCTCTGCAGTCTATGAAGAGGATTGCATGTTCTGCCACCTCATTTATCCTTAAAAAAAAATCTATAATTTATCCTTAAACTTTCCAATAATCCTGTGAGGGAGACATTGTCAACATGTTATCCCATGGCACAAAAGAGGAAATCAGCACCAACGAATGAAGGAAATTGCCCAGGAAATGGCAGAACCAGGATTCACACCCGACTGGTCTGCCTCAAAAGTCCACGTTTTTGTCTACTCTTCCATAGTGCTTTGCTGCCAATAGCATGAACCAGTGCATCTTAATTATGAACAACTGGTAACCTCTGCAAAAATCAAAGCTGTGCCTAAACTAAAAAATGTTTGATGAAAAGGTTGACTCTCAGGAAGGCATTTATCTTAGTTCCTACAAGTTTCTCTCTCAGCAAAGATAATGTGGTGAGACTGCAGAAAAGCTTTCTTCCTCCAGGTGCACTAAAAAGAAAGTCAGGCGAGAGAATACTCACACGTGCAATTTCATTACGATAGGAGTTTCCATATAAAGTTAATTAGAAAGAAGGAAGAGTCGGCTCCTGCAGGGAGAACACTTTAGAAATAAAAACGAAGAGAGGAGGTAGATAAGACAGATAGTGCTGGAATATTCAGAGATGGAATTAGAGATGGAGCACCTGTATACATTTTGCTGTGTCCACGCAAAGGGAATTAAGACAGGTTCTATCCTAGAGATTAAAGATTTATATAGCAGAAAATGTCTTGAACTGGTCATCAGATGAAATAAGTTCTACTTTCATTGCTACATCATATACACAAACTGTTTGGTATTAGGAAAATCCTTTCCCTTTTTTCCCTTGTATCTCCACAACCCACCTCACAGCATTGTTATGGGGATTAATCAGACAATATCTCAGAAAAAAATCTGGGGACTTTAAGTTCCCTGCAAATATAAATTTATGTATTGAAACAGCAAATGTCCCCATACATAATGACACCTTTAAATATAAGAATGAAAAGGGGTTCCAATTATCCACAAATATTAGAGAAGCTACTGAACAGGACATGTTTTATATATTTAAGAAGAATTCTTTATTCCCCTCTTTTTGAACTAACATTTTTTTTCTTCTACACAGTAAGTCAGTTCATGTAGTAACTGCTGAATTATAAAGTCACTCAGATGCATTGCTTTTAAAAAGTTTATTGAGCACCTTATATGTGTCAGGCACAGTACTAAGCCCTCAGATAGACAACAAACTTTCTTGATGTGAAGGGAAAGAATTGTTTGGGTGCAGTTGCCTATGAGTGATCAAGGTGTAATGTATTAGCTCTGTCTCGAACTTACTGTTGTCTCCAACTCATCAAAAGGTAGATTTTTCTAGGGCTGCATAAAGTAGACATCAAAATGAAACCAAACTTGGCAGTTTTTTCCCTTGATTAGATTTTAATCTAAATGAATAATGAATGTATGTGGCATGTATAAGAAGAGAAGTTTGATCACAATCAAAGACAACTCCAAAGGAATACAATAAGAACAGGCTTAATTTATCAAGGTTTACTCACCAAAGTATCTGCAGGAAAGAAATTAGGAGGAGGCAATGCAATAATTAATACTTTAAAAGTTTTTTTTAAAAAAGGAAAGAAACATACAAGGATGGAAAAACAGATTTTTTCATGGGAATGTTTGAATTATTGCCTTGGGCTCTTAAATGTCCACTAATTTGCCCTCTATACATGTAAGATAGATAATGTGAACATCTGCTTCAGTTGGCCCTCTGCTACATTGGTGGCAGAAACAAGGGAAGAAAGTTCCAGGTATCTCCTCATACCTTCTAAAATTGTGAATTAAAAGAAAGGACTTCTTATTCCAGATCTAAAGATGACAATAGATATTTCCTGCTATTTACATTTTCTCTAGGGTGCTCTTTATCTGAAGCTATGCTTTATCTGAGCTTCTGCTAGAGGCTATAGAATCTGAGATGTAGAAAGAGCGTAGGATACAAATAGGGTAATTGAAGTGTAGGAAACATAAGCAGTCTGCCTAAGGTCATACGACTGCCTGGGACAACACAATAATCAGAGGACCCTGTATTCCATGCCCAGTCCTGTA